AAAAAAAAAATCCCTGGACATGGGTTTTTTTTCTTTCTTTCTGCCATATGTCTATTCTAGAGACATTGTGTTACACCTTTACTTAGTGATTATTTTGCCTTATGTCTGTTCTAGAGACATGTTACAGCTTTTTGATCAAGCTCTAATTGGTTTTCTTTTGGAAATATGTTTCAAATTCACACTGAATGCATTAATGACTGTAAAGCATGTCTGTGTGTGTCAAAATCGTGATTAAAATCGAAATCGCAAAATTTATCAAAGAAATCGCGATAGGTTTTTTTGTCCATATCGCACAACCCTATTTAGATCACGTTACATTAAATTAAAGTAATTTTTTATAATTAAATTCTCTGTGTGTGTCAAAATCGTGATTAAAATCGAAATCGCAAATTTATCAAAGAAATCGCGATAGGTTTTTTTTGTCCATATCGCACAACCCTATTTAGATCACGTTACATTAAATTAAAGTAATTTTTTATAATTCAATTTCATTCATTTTATTTCAAGTAATCAATTCTCTAACGGTTTTAGTTAATTATACGACCAATTAGTCAGCAATCTTATATAAGCATCGTAGAACAATTTATAGAATAAATGTTTAGAATATGGTCTCTTTATTAAGAAGTATAAATGCATTAGAAATCTTTAAAAACACACAAAATCGACACACTTTAAATGCACATATTTCTAAATAACAAATAAAGTCTCGCAATCAATCAAGATTCCCTGATGGTATAAAGCTAATTTGCATATTATTAAAACGAACGGCCCAGCGTCGCGTCTGTGCAAAAGTTAAACTTGCATCAGCTTACAAGCAAATCTTTGAGACTTCGTGAACACGTTAAATGTCAGGTTTATTAATCATAAACATTGATCTGTCTGGTTTAAACGATACTGCGCGCCGCGCTCGGCCTGCTGTAAGTTAGCTGCACGAGAACAAACAATGAACGCACGCGACGCAACGGATTCCGACTCGCGCCACAAATACAAATAGTAACGCAATACAACTATTATATAGATACCCAACAACAAATAAGAAATGTAACTGAGTTAACCTTTATATTACCATGTACACAAACGCTGCTCGCTAGCTAGCTAGCTGCTAGAGTTAGCAGACGCCTTTCTGCATGTTTCTGTGGGCTTCTTTTCAATCTGTACGTGCAACATGTAAAATATTTATTATTAAGCAAGTGTAGATGCTCAAAGTGAACCTGACCTGATTAAATTCCTCTTCTACATCGGCGTAAATATCGATGTGGTCGACACCGTCCGCCATTTTCTGTTTCCCTCCTCCTCGGTGCTCGCGCTGCGCGTGAAGAAGAGACGTCGATACGTGAAGCCAGAAACTCCCGCCCAAAAAACCGACGACGTGCTGATGGGCTTTACGCAATTTCAAAATAAAGCGGTGAAGTGCTAAGATTCACTTTGTCTTTATATTAAATTTTCTTTATACATTAATAATAGTAGCTTTAATTATGTTTCCTTTAAATTATTTAAAAAAATGTAATCTGTCCCAGTCAAAATCATTTGCTGGGTTTTATTAAATTTGTCTTTTAATCATGCTTTTATACCTGCTAGTTAACTAGATTAAATTATAATTATGTTATCATAGCCCAATAATGACATTATAGCCCACTGTTTCAGAATAGAAATTTTCCAAGTAAACGTTTGTCGGGACTCTTAATTTGAAATTTGACTCGCAACCGAACCGAAGACGGAATCCTATGAGCGCTACATACAGAGCCTTTCTTCATAGAGAAACATGTATTTTGTGCTTAATGGCAGTTCCGAACAGTAATTCAGTTCCGCTCCAAACTGTACTCATTTCGTAGAAGCCAATCCGAGTAAAACACTTGACTCTCTGTGTACTATGTTTAAGAGGATGGCTGAATTTGGCCCAGATTCGGGGGGTCGGGTGAAGGTAGGTAACGTTAGCGAGCATGATGCTAATGCTGATGTTTATTTACAATAACAGGGTTGATCGTGGATTTATGCGTTTATTATAATCCAGGGAGTGACTATCGTGAAACCTATCGTGTTTGGAAACTTTGCACGATATTTTGGCAAGAAAATAGAAGACGATGGTCACACTCATCAGTGGACAGTTTATGTGAAGCCTTACAGAAATGAGGTCGACTCTTATTTCATTATAAGTGTTGCATATGAATGCTAAATTTAATATGTAGTATACTAACAAAGTGCTGTTTTTTTTTTTTGATATTTCCCCACTGATATTCCCAGGATATGTCTGCTTATGTCAAAAAAATACAATTCAAACTGCATGAAAGTTACGGGAACCCTTTAAGAGGTGTGCAATTTATCTTCTAATATTATAGTGTAATATCAAAAATTTAAGTCACTGATTTTAACTCCCTCTTCGTATTATTTCAGTGGTTACGAAGCCTCCGTATGAGATTACTGAGACTGGATGGGGAGAGTTTGAGATCATCATAAAGATCTTCTTCATCGATCCAAATGAGAGACCGGTAAATGGCATTAAATGACTTTTTTTCTGTGTGTAAATTATTGCAGGATTTTTAATCTTTTGGATGCTACAGACCCCCAAACATGATCATCCTCATTGGACCCCTGTCCAAAAATGTAAAAGGTGGCGATGTGCTATTTTAACGTATAAAGACCCTGTTAAAACTGTGCCAAATATAATAAATAATATGTAAAAATAAATTATTTATTTGTAATAAATAAAAAATGCAACATAAAATATTGAGTTTTTATTGCTTTAAATTATTAAAATATTTAGTTATTATTATATTACGTTACATTACTGTGTTTTACGCCGTATAGTACTGAACTGTTAGATGTTATTTAAATAAAAATGTATTACATTTATTTAAACCAAATTAATAATTTTTTATTTACACATTTTTTATTCAGTCAAATTTTACTTATTATTTTAATATTTTATTCAGTTGTTTTTTGAAATCAAGTTTATATATTTATTAATTTTATAAAATTTTGTTAATTTTAATACATTTTATTGGCTAATTTTTCAAGACCCTACAGCCATGATGCAACAGCTCCTGAACACCACCAGACAGCTGACGTTAGGTGCCTACAAACACGAGACCGAGTGTGAGTGCTTCGCTTACCTTCACAGCATGTGAAAATACTGTGAATCAGACAGCATACTTTATAGATACGATAGTCACAGCAGTTCTAATCATGCAAACTAATCATTCAGTTGCAGAGCTGGAGTTAAGAACACGAGAAAAAGTGGAAGCGGCGAAGAAGAAGACGAGCCTGGAGATCTCAGAGCTGAAGGAGCGACTGAAAGCCTCCAGAGAAAACATCAACTTCCTGAAGGGAGAGATACGCAGACTGGAGGAGGAGGACCAGATGAAGGATCACTGAGGACTTCAGCATCATCAGACGGCTGTCCTGTAGCGGGATGGTGAACACAAACACGCGGGATTTAGTGGACTGATCAATTCACATTTCTGGTTGTTGTCCAGATCATCAAAATATGTGCAAATACGAACCTTTGTAGTTCTCACTGACTTGTTTTGTATGAATACATTTTTTTTTTTTTTTTACAAATATTGTCTGATTACTGTCCAGTTTTATTTAAACATTTTTTTAATTAAAATATTTAGTTTCAAGCAGCTTTACTAAATATGATCCCTTAAAGCCCATTATGAAATATCAGATATATATGTATAATATAATTTTTTAATAAATAGAAATTTTTGAAAATAATTTATTTACAACTTAACAAAATATTTAATATATAACGGTTTAAAATCAAATAAATAAATAAATAAATGCTTTAAAAAAGTTTTTGCCTCCACTAGAGGCTGCTAAAGCACAAACACAACATTGGACAACCTCTTTAATATTTACCATGTTGACAATAAATACTCAAATATTACCCCCCACCACCCACCACCACCAAAGTAATACTTGATCAAGGAACAATAGCTTTAAGGGGTAAAAACTTTAAGATTAAGGAAGATATTTCAAGCCACAGACAGTATTTAGTATCTCATAATGTATCGTGACAATAAATGATCTTATATTAAAAAGATGATATTTATTTTGATGCAAAAACATATATAGAGAATTTCAGGATACCTTTATAAAGTTAAAACAATTTACTTGGCTTTAGTATTTCAGAAAGTAACTTTCTTTTTATTGTCCGGGTACAGAATAATATTTACAGTAGGATGTTTTTTTTTAATCCTCTACATTCCTCATGAGTTTTAAGCGGGTTTTCTATAGTTTTCATACACATACAGTACACACACGCGACCCGGATGCAGTAGTAATGGGCATCTCTCATATTTTCTTCGTTTGGTATGTTATTGTGGTGCAAACACGGAGTTTAAAAGTTGTTTTTCCTCTGACGTAATAAAGTATGACATCGGTGTGTTCAAACGTCTTTGATGTGAGTGTGTGTGTGTGTTCAGTTAAAATAGAGTCAATAAAAAAACATCCTGATAAAAGCTTACAAATGATGTGCTTCGTTAAATTAGTTTGTGTATTTATCCTGATAAGTGATGAGGGTTTAATATTGTGTGAAAATAAAACATAAAACAATTAATTGTAATGCATTTAAAGGTGATTTTATGGCAAATAGTACTGGTCTGATGGATTGGTTTACCATGCTTGTTAACTATAATTATATTAAAGTAACGTTTTGTGGCATTTCAGATTGTTGGTTTTTAAATATAAACACAATTCTAGTTTGACTTTCAGAGGGTCCTCCAGAAAACGATTATTAATGAATAAACCTGATTATGATCACTGACACAGCTTAAGTCCCTCCATTCACATTTACTGACATTTGCGTTCTTTAATCACATTTAATCAATATTTTGGATATGTAAACAAGGCAGTGCATGCTTAATTTGACTGTAAATACAGCACGTATCATAACTAACATGGCGTAATTCATAACGCTCATCAGCAGCATTGATCCTCCGAGCTCCTCGAGGCTTGTGTGTTTCCGAGATCCTCGCCTGAAGCCTGACAATGTGTCGTTTCTGGGAAGCAGCGGTCAGCAGTGATGCAGCGCTTGTGTGTCCTTCACTTTTTCTGTGTGATTGAATGTTGAACAGATTCAGCAGCAGATTCCCATTGTCTGGTGGGTTATTTGGTGATAGAGTCGACCCATGCATGTGTAGGAGTAGGTATTGATTCGTTTTAAAGTTCAGAACTGGAGATATTCCACTCAACGGAGGACACATCAAGCCCTTTTCTAATGGGTGTGGTGCACTGTAGGTCACCACACCTAAATCAAGGCAGTAGACATAGTCATGATTGCACAAAGTGAAGGAGCTGTGGGTGTGATGACGAGAGCATCACCACCCATAGGATAAAGCTTTGGCAGAAGGCACTGACGCTGCCTCGAGTCGTGCTGATGGATGTCAGGATCCAGGTGGAAAAAGCAGAGTAAAGACAGGTCCGTTTACACACATGCTCTCTCAAATCTGTGTATGTGCTGACAGGGTGACTGTGTTGCTCCTGTTTGCCCAGTGACTCAGCAGAGCTGCCTTTATGGTTTCCCGTTATTGCATTTGATGGTTTCTCTGACACACTTTGCGCCATGTACTCTTATCAGCGAAAAGATGCTTTGAATGCATTAAGTTGTCTGCATTAATACAAGTACACATTTATGCCAAATCCTCAACGTCATGCAGTTTGGTGTGCTCATATTGTGTGTGGTTTGCTTTTATTTGTGCATTTAAAACTTTAGGGCTTGTTCCAGTTGTTGGGTTTCTGTTCTTTTAAGCACACTGAAAATAAATGGTGCAGAATCACTTTTCACGTAGAAATTGCAAGTAGATTTCAAAATCGGTTACAAAAAAGCATTTAAATAGCTCACCCAAAATGAAAGCAAGGTGTCTATATGTATCTTCAATAGGGCTGCACGATAAATCGCATGCGATATTTAACACGCATCAGTGAACAACGGCTCTGTGTAGTTAATGCTGCTCAATGTGAAAGCCCGCAGGTGATGGAGATTTACCGCTGATTACAGAATCGGCTTTCTGACAAGATGCGCATTAAATATCGCATGCGATTTATCGTGCAGCCCTAGTCTTCAACTAGAAAAGATTTCGAGAAAGTTAGCATTCCATCACTTGTTCACCATTGGGTGCTCTGCAGTGGTGTGGATTACTTGTGGATTATTGTGATGTTTTTATCAGCTGTTTGGACTCTCATTCTGATGGTACCCATTCACTGCAGAGGATCCATTGGTGAGCAAGTGATATAATGCTAAATTTCTCAAAATCTGATAAAGAAACAAAAATTAATCCTCATCTTGGATGGCCTGAGGGTGAGTAAATGTTTTAGCAAATTTTCAATTTTGGGTGAACTTCAAATTCAGAATGTAATGTTGTGGCTCTCTCTTCATGTTTTATCATCTGCTAATCGTGTTCTTGCTCGTTTAATTGCAGGAAGGTTTTTTTCCACTCTGTAATGTGAAATGTGTTGATTTTGAGGCCGTGTTGAATTGCAGATAATAGAGCAAAAGTTCTGAAGGCCGTCCAGTTCTTTTCATAATAGCCATGCTGGAAGAATTGAGCTGAATCGTCATCAGAATCATTCAGTGACGCGATGGACAACCAGAACTATTCAGCATTTAGCCTTCAGTTTGATTTGAGTTTGTGATTTTATCCGAAAAGCACCTCGTCTTTTGAGGAGCACAGCTGAGCTGTAAGAAAGAAATGTTTTTTTAATTTTTTTTTTAATAATTTGAATTTTAGTTAAAAACAATGAAAGCTGAAATAAAAGTTTAGTACTTTATTTAATTTCAGGCAAGGAAGATTTTTTTAAATTTTTTTTTATAGTTTTAATTTGAGCTAAAAACCATGAAAGCTGAAATAAAGTAGGTTTTTTTTAGTACTTTATTTCAGATAACATTTTTTTTAATATTATTATTATTACTATTATTTTGCACAATGGAAATCAGTTGGGTCTGTGTAGTTTGGGGTTCTTCAAAACATCTTCATAAGTCATGCAGATTTGTAGAATAAATGATGAGCGAATGTTGATTTTTGGGTGAACTATCCCTTTAAGGAATGACAGAGTGGGAGTTTAAGATCCACCGCTGGACTCTCAGGCTTTACTCTCCCGGGTCAGCGGCCGGCCTCTGTGTCCACACTGACTCAGCTGACCTGTGCTTGATTTCTGTATTTCAGATGGACTTTCTCTGTCTCCTCCCCCTTCTCTTGTCCTCTGTTGAGAAGGATCATGCAGTGAGGTCGGCCGCTCTCTTTCTGATCTTGTGCCTCCCACACAAGCTTAAGCTTGTTTGCTATGTGAAGAGCTAATAGCCACTATTTCAGAGTTTCACTGGAGGCTCCGTGTTTTCATCATAGCCCTATTGGAGGCCTGTATTACATTTATTTATACTGTTTACAGGATGAATCTCGCATGCAACAAACGAACTAAATGAACTAATCTTAATATAAGGTTATTTTTTAATGCACCCATTTTTTTTAATTACATTTTTTATTTAATTTTATTTTAGGGTGAAATATGACCTGAAATTGTTTTTGTGACATTATTACAATAAAGGAGATGGCATGCCTTACATTATGTTAGTTATATTTGATTTATTGTTATTATTACTATTTTTTAATATGACCTAATAGTTTTTTTAAGTACTTTGAGATAAACTAAAAGAAAGTGAGAAATGATAACTGAAACTAGCTGAAATAAAATACATTATATTTGTTAGAATTTTTCTTTTTTCAATTAACACTTATTTTTAATGGGACACTTATTTCATTTCTAGTAACAATTTTTTATTTATATGTAAAAGTTTTTTTTTTAATCCGCATATATACAATAAATGATACACATGAACCATTCTAAATACTCAGATATTGTCAATATTTCTGCCTAGTAGTAATGTGTCCATTTACACTCCTTTTTTCCCCCTCTCACCAGAGTTAGTAGAGTTAAAAAATAATCTGCTACGTTCCTCCCCCATTCTGACACGCCGTCTCTCTACCTCTGTGTTTCTGGTGGGAGTTAAAGTAAACTCTGGCGCTGGTTTGAAGTGTGCGAGTCGCTCAACGTTCACCAGCTGGCCATACTGGAAGCGCTGGGTTACCGGGGTGACCGGGTCGTGCGAGGAAGAACTCACACACACACACACTCTCTCTCTCTCTCGCCCGTATGCCAGGAGAGCACAATATTAGTGTACACATTGGTGAACGTGGGTTTATGCAGAACCTGAAGCTCCGTAATTCAAGTGACAATCAACTCAAAATTAAGATTTTGTATATAAATGCACCAAAGGTAGTATTTATTAAGCTCAGATGAGATAATACTTAGAAAAGCACTACATCTGGAAAATAAGTAACTTCAGCATCATTTCTTGCCACAATACCTATGATGGTCTGGGAATATGCCACACTGGATTCAAACCCATGGCCTGAAAGGTTCGGGGGCAGGTGGCTTAGCAGAGTGTGCCACTCAGTTGACGCACATTCAACGGGCTGATGAGGAGAGGTTTAGGTGTGAGAATGAGCTCCCAAAAAAAGTTATTTAGCATTTTAACCAGAGTAATATGCAAAGTTAAGTTAATGGTAATGCAGCTTATGATTAACTTGACAGCTAAAGAGTCACATTAAACAGCATAGTAACTTGTTAGCCTGTAACTTATTAGCAT